AACAGTGGAAACAGTGTCAGACTTTATTTTTTTGGGCTCCAAAACCACTGCAGGTGGTGATTGCAGCCATGAAATTAAAAGATGGTTACTCTGTGGAAGGAAAGTTATCACCAACCTAGATAGCATATAAAAAGCAGAGACATTACTTTGCCAACAAAGGTCCATCTGGTCAAGGCTATGGTTTTTCCAGTGGTCATGTATGGATGTGAGAGTTGGACTGTGAGGAAAGCTGAGTCCTGAAGAATTGATGTTTTTGAACTGTGGTGTTGGAGAAAACTCTTGAGAGTCCCTTGGACTGCAAGGAGATCCAACCAGTCCATCCTAAATGAGATCAGCCCTGGGTGTTCATTGGAAGGACTGATGCTGAAGCTGAAACTCCAATTACTTTGGCCACCTGATGCGAAGAGTTGACTCATTGGAAAAGACCCTGATGCTAGGAAGGATGGGGGGCAGGAGGAGAAGGGGGTGACAGAGGATGAGATGGCTGGATGGCATCACTGACTTGATGGACATGGGTTTGGGTAGACTGCAGGAGTTGGTGATGGACAGGGAGGCCTGGTGTGCTGCGATTCATGGGGTCACAATGAGTCGGACCTGACGGAGCGACTGAACTGAACTAGGGACTTGTCAGAAGTCCTGGTGAGATCACACAGGGGCATGGGGCCCTCTGCTGTAGTCCCTTTAGTGACATTCCTCAGGCCTGGAAAGTGGCCTTTGGTTCCTACCCTGCCATGATTCTGGGAAGAGCCCATCAGGTGGGTCCTTTGGGGAGGTTGAACCCTTGAAGGTGGAACCACAGTGCTGGTACCTTTCGCTAACCAAATCCCTTTCAGGAGTTCAGCAGTTGAGAGGGACACCTGGTAGGTGGGCACTTGGATCTTGTGATTTCTTTTGTCCTTAAGAGAGTACTTGCAGAGTGAGTTGAATCCCTTGCTCTCTGAAAAAATTCAGAGGCAGACGGTCATTCTGAGGGACTGCTCTGTTCCAGTAACAGAGTAGAAAATTGGTCTCTAGCATTTGGGGTTTTGGCTTCCCAGGTGTCTGGCGCTAGTGGTAAAGAATCCATCTGCCAATGCAGGAGACATAAGAGATGTGGGTTTGATCCCTGGGTCTCAAAGATCCCCCTGGAGGAGGACTTGGCAACCCACTCCAGTGTTCTTGTGTGAAGAATCCCATGGACAGGAGAGCCTGGCAGGCTATAGTCCATAGTGCAGTAAAGAGTCGGACAGGACGAAGCGACTTAGCACACATCACAGCACATGGCATTTGGGAGGTACCTCCAAGGGGCTTCAGGCTATGCTGTGCCAATAAACACCAGTATGACTGAGTTGATTTTTATGCAGTTTGTTTGGTCTGTACCTGTGAGATATTGTCTGTTTCATATGGTAAATGTCACCCCTGGCCTTAGGAGAAGAAAGAATGTTGCCAAAACAGAACTAGTTCTATGAGGATATATTAAGACATACAGTCTTTGTTTCACTCCTAATTTTTTTTTTCCATAATTTTCCTAGCTTCACTGTAGGAAGGTAATAAACATCAAAGCTAACATAGTCAATGATCCCTTTCCAGAGATACGACCAGACAAGCCTCCTTTCAGTAGGCTCCTGGGGAAAGTACATTCCCAGGATGGGAGAGGAACATTAAACCGTGTGTCACTCATTCTGCAGGAATGAAAATGTTAGTTTCTCTGGTCATAATAATTTAGAGATTAAATGTTGGACATGTGACTGCAGGAAAGCTGTGATTTGTTTCCTAAATCATAAAATCTCATTTCCATTTCTCATCCACTATGCATCTCCTTTGGAAAGCCACATAACTTATCCAGCTTGCCATCACATAGAATCATGTCAGTGAGTTTGTGGGTCTCTCAATAAATTATGTCAAGTAGAGACTGCCTTCATAAGCTTATCCCCCACCTGACCACAATCCCCAGGAAAAAAACTGTGCTTTGTTACATATGATTGGAAGCTTCCAAATCAGTCTTGGCTATTTTCTATTACTTAGGTCCTTCTAACTTTCTCTTCGCTATTGTAGAAAAAGTTGCCTTTGCTAGATTCACTCACATCTGGTGCCCTGAAACTTTATCAGAGGGAATACTCTCTAATCATTTTCAATTGTGTGACAGTTTGGGACCTGACTTCTGATCACCTGTAATACTCCGAACCATGACTGCTTTTTATTTTCCTGCCTGCCTGTCACATCCTACTTGTTGGAACATAATATTTGTGGCTCACAGGTTCCCAAACCTAACCAAGTGATGGATGTAAGGTATATGATTAATCTGCACCTCTATGTAGTTTTGAGTTTATTGCTTTTCAATTGATTTGTGCTAAGGGTTAAACAATTAATTGAATGGCTGCTAAGGTTTGAGTCTTAACTGTAATACTTTTCCTATGTATTGTATCTACACTCTCTTCAAGTTGCTGACAGTCAGGTGGACCATTATTATAGACAAAAGAAAATAAAATCCTCCACATAAACTAACATACAGTCTAATTAAACATGTCATCATGTTCAGAGAGGGCTCGCTGTCTCCCTGTCTCTTTCTCTGTGTGTCTTTTTAGAATCTCAGATGCTGTGCAATCATACTCTTTAGTTCCTGGTAGATAAATTAGCATCTGTCTGGTGTGGAGACTTGCTTATTTGTTTGCTTCAATTTCATCTGCTTTTATCTCTCCTCCACCCATTCCCCTCAGAGTAGAGCAGCCAGAATGGGAGGGTCTTAGTTAGGAAAGCTTACTCTTCGGGCCTGGACCATCAGGTTCTGGACCATCAAAAATACCACACTGGATAGTCTGAAAAGCAGAGCATACACATGGCAGCTTAATATGTAATTGTTAGGGACTTGTTAGGGACAGAGCAAATTTTCTTGTGCCATTCAGATATTTTATTGAAAAATATAGGCAACAATAGGCAAAAACCACAGGCAACAATTTTGACATGCATCTTTTTGTTTCATATTGTGTTTTTAATTTACATATTTTTAATTTATGTCAAGGATAGCAGATGATTTGTATCTCCTTTTATTTCTTTTTTCTCTTTCAGTTTTGGATCCATCCGTGTCACTATGACTCAATCTCAACTGTTGTTTCTAATTGCCACATGGTACTCCACATTGTGCATCCAACATACATGTGACTCATCTATTTTCCCATTGGTGGACACATGTTGCCTCCAATATCCTCTCCCCTGATCATAACAATATACAGTGATGAAGTCTTCTAGGTAAATAACTTTACCAATTAACTGATGGGTTTTCTTCTTTAATGTGTCTTTCTTATGTCTATAGCTAAAGCTGAAATATGAGGTACATTTTAATTTTTGTTTTAATAATTATTTTTTACCCTTTACAAAATCCTTTAATGTTTTACATAATGCTCCATAGTTTAAAGGTGACTTATAGATTAGTCATGCCCTTTGCTCAAAATTGATCTGTTTTCTCTTCTTGCTTAAATTTATAATTATCATAGTTTTCCATTGTGCTCACTTGGGTGACCTGTATGTTTGAGAGAATAATTCAGTTTGTGTTTTCTGTCATGGTAACACTATCATTTCTATACTAATTCAAAATTAAATAGAACAAAATTCAATATTACAGTAGTCAGTGAAAATTTTAGAAGATCTTAGAAGTCACCATTAAAAAAATCCTGTGTGTGACAGAGATAAAATGACTAAAGACCTGTTTTTCACTTTTTTTTCTTTTTGTCTTGAAGAATCCATCTTATAGTGATAACATGGTGGCTAAACCTGTGATTCAATATTTTCCTACCTTCTCAAATACTAAGCCAACACTAAACTGAAAATGATGAGTGTAGCTCTATTCATTTAAAAAAAAGTTATTTTCACAAGGCTGTTTTGGAGAGGAATCCATGTTTGTGAGACTGCCTTACCCAAAGCTATCTTCTGAGCTAAGCCTCCAGAGGTGAGTTACAGAGAACTTGGGGTCATATACCTTTCAGCAACTTTGGCAGTGAATTGTATTAGGACCACGTGTCTGACCAAAGCAACCTTGTATACTCTGAGTCATGATCTATGGAGGAATCTGTATGAAATTTGGTCCCAAAGAGGATCTATATTTGGAAAAATATTAACTAAACCAATTAGATGACCTTGTTTGGGGGCTCTTGAAACATGCAGAGAAACACTCATAATGGAATAGGAAGAAGCAGCTGATAAAGAAAGTAGTTTAAAAGGGGAATAATAGATCAATTTAATTTATGTGGCATCCTAAAAAATATTCTGGTTTTCTTTAGACCTATTTAAATATTAAGACAGTTTTCTCTGTGTGATTCTCTTCCTAGAATATAAAGTTTTTAAAAAGTTGAAAAATCTCAAATACAAGCATACAAGAAGCCAAAAACTAAAGTTGAAAATGGTAATAAGAGTGAAGTAGATTCTAATTTTAGTAATTTATATTGTATGTATAAGTAAGCAAAGAGGTTATTGAACCCATAAAAATATATTGGAACTCTAAGTGGCTATAAAGGGAATGACATATTAAGCTATGATTGTGTCCATGTGTTTAAAATGGAAGGCATGATTCACAGCTGATTTTTCCAATACAGTAGCTATTGAACTTTGCACTTGGGACACTATAATATGCTGATGAAAGGTAAAGATATTGCCCAAGGTAGAAAAAAGAAAAAAAAAGCTGGAAAGTGGTGGAAGTGTATGTTACAGACTGGAAGACTCACCAGATATCTATATACTCCACTATGTTTCACTACCTGCTTTGTGCATGCCTGCTAAGTCACTTGGCTAAGTTGCTAGGTCGCTTGTGTCTGAGGCTTCGCAACACTGTGGACTGTAGCCCACAAGGCAGGGCTCCTCCGTCCATGGGATTCTCCAGGCAAGAATACTGGAGTGGGTTGCCATGCCCTCCTCCAGCGATCTTCCCGACCCAGGGATTGAACATGCATCTCTTATGTCTCCTGCTTTGCAGGCAGATTCTTTACCACTAGCGCCACCTAGGAAACCTGCCTACACTATAGTTAGGTTATATGATGAATTCTGGTCTGTGGCCCTTGAAAGGTTGTGACATAGGTCACCTCCTGACTATGTTACTTGCAATCAGTTGTGAATTATTTCTTCTCTACCTTTGCCTGTCTTGGAGTCCCTGGAAGCCTTGTGTTGAGATGGAGCCACAAATAGAAGCTGGAAAAATCCATGATCTATTGCTGGGAAGTGAGCTGCCCTGGTAAGTATCTCAACTTGCTGAGGGTTTGTGAGAAGGGATAATAAATTTTTTGTGTAGAGTGACTGAGATTCTTGTGGTTGCTTTTTATTGCCAAACTCATACTGGGTGGGATTTGAATCTAGCCAATCTATTTTACTAGAAGTATTACACTTTTCTCACCACAGTGTATTGGCATAAACAAAGTGGAAGGCTCTGAGATAGATGAATCTCAGCTTTGTCATCTCAAAAAATGGGGAAACATCTTACAGGAGTGTTATGAAAGCTAAATGAAGTAACCGTTTTAAATGTAGGTTTCATTTTTATTCATATATGGTAGGGCCAGCAGATCAGGAGAGGACTGCCATTGAAAAGATAGTTTGTTACTTACAGTTCTAAAGAGAATCAGGGGAACCACACCATGAAGGCTATAAGGAGAAGCACCAGGTTGGTCAGGCAGCAGAGGGAGAGAGGGAAAAATGTGGGTGAGAGCCTTTACTGTTGTTTCAGTCACAGAGACAGGGCAGGGCAGAGTAAGCGGCTTTAGACTGGCTATTCATCAGGCTCTGGGGTATGGGAACTGTCTTTAGTTGTACTCTCCTGGGGTGATTAGGGCAGGGCAATGGTAGACAGGCAAAGGAGGTGGTTGGGTCAGGGGCTCTCAGTTGATTGATTTGCATATGAAAGATGAATCGTTTATGATCTCTAGGAATTTGATAGCCCTAGAAGGGGCTTCAGGTGTCAAAGTATTGGGATAGAAAAACATGATGAATAAAATCACATAAGAAAGTACCTAAGTGAGTTTCTGGCCCAGAGTAGCAGCATGAAGATGAATTCAAAAGCAGATTGAAGGGGAGCAAGTCAGAGATTTAGGAGAACAGGTAGAAGGCATTTATAGAAATTCTTCAAAAATGTGTTAATCATGTCACTTCTCTTTTTTTAATACCATAAATTCATGATCTTCCTGTTTTTGGCACTTGAAGCTCCACATTTGTTAGCATTGATCCTGTTTTTTAAGTCTTATAAGGGACATTTCTTTTGAGACAAATTCCCTTAGTTCCACCCATCCCATCCTCATCCTGTGACCTTTTATCAGCAGTAATACATAAATAAGGCAGCTTGGACCATAGGTGATTAACAGAGAGGACCTCAGGGTGGTCGGTCAACAGTCTTCATGCCCAGAAGCTGGGGGAATGGGAGCCAGAGGGCAGAGGGACTGCCAAGGCACTGATTACATACATAGTTCCTAGAACTTAGGCAATTCTAATAAACATCTTCAATTCTATCTCTAGGATTTGTAAATGTTGTCCTGCAGATTGCTCAAAGAAACAGAATTTTTTGATGCAAGAAGCTAGAGGTGCCTAGGAAAGAGTGGGGCTAGGAAGAGTGAGTTAGAAAGACAGTAGACCTAGATCTACTGTTAGTTATATTCAGAGCCCTCTAAAATAATTATGACTACATCATTTCATTAAACGTACAACATGTCATTTGGATCCACCCGCAGATTTGCTTCTCATATTTTTCTAGCTTTTTCCTTCTGAGTTTCTTCAGTATAAATGTAGAGTTTTGAACAGATGATCTCTAAAATCCCAGACAGGTTTAATAAAATTCTGATTATATAACTTTTTCTCCTTCTAAATCCCTGCGCTTATCACTGGCTCAGAGAAAAATCTTGGTCTAATCCAAAAATTTTTTTCGCCCCCAAAAATCTATCCCAAGATGTAAGAAATACCTAAAAAGAAAAAAGAACAATTGCAATAAAAATGAGTCCTTGTATATCATGAATCTCTTTAAAAAATTTAATTGAAACTTATTCTAACTTTATAGAAAATTTGGAACACAGGAAAAAAAGAACACAGCTGTCTTACCTAATCTCTTAAGATTTATTTGTATTTCTGCTCCTTATTATATTTTTACCTTCTACTCAATTTTACTTTCTATATAATTATAGTCAAATAGTTATACAGTTTTGCATCCTATTTTTTTCATTTAACATTGAATATCCAAAGAATTCCCATAATTAAATATAAATATCCCTATATTATTTTAAATAAAGTGAATCAGAATTTACTTAACACTTTTAATTTGAGAAATCTCTCTTATTATTATTTATAAAATTTGTCTGCTTAATGGATACAGCTTTGTCCAAAACTTTTCTTCTAAAGTGATGATGTCTTAGGATAGAATCCCAGAAGTAGAAGATGAAGCAGGTTTCAAGGTCAAGGGAGAGCAGTTAAGACGATTCAAGCAACAGAAGAGATCAAACCTGGTTTATGAATAGGGACCACCTTTTTCTCTACGTCAGATTAAGGATGACATTTATTAATGAACGGACCACATTCTGATTGTTTTAGAAAGTCCAATATTGGCAGTAAAAACCATAAAAATTGGTAGAAAATGAAAGAAGGGAGGGAAGGAGGAGGAAATATTATACAAAAGATACAAAACCTGGATTATTCTTACACATTTATGGATTTTGTAAATTGATCTTTTATTTTACCCCCTAACTAAATGACATTTACCTCATTTGGGGGCAGCATAATCAAACAATATCTCTTTATGCTCTATTTTTTGCAAAAGTCTTTGTGTGGTGAACAGGAAGGTGGGTTGTCATTCCTCACCTCAGGCAGAATATTATTATTCTAATATGTGGTTTGGAACTGGGGTGTGATATTCTCCTTCACTGGAGATTTAGAGGAGAATGGAGTGTTGTTTCTCATTCGGGAAACACAATTTTGGAATAAGGATGATGAACTCTTCAAAACAAAGCCTCTTACACTACTTAAAAATAAATAAACAAACCAGAACAACTAAAGGAAAAGGGCAAGATTGCATCTTGTATTTTTTTCTTTTGTCAAAACTGTATTTTTTTAAAAAAGGATATCTATACCCTCATTTCTCAGTCCCCTCATTTCTCTCCCTCTTGTATATCTGTTTGGCAAGGGTGACCAGCAGTACCAGTTAACCTTTGAAAAATAGCCTGGGAAATTTTCCAAGGTGCCTAGCCATAGATAATTTCATGGATTCCCTCTAACTGGTATAAACGACAGGTTAAACCCAGGCCCACTGGGTAATGTTTAACTGCTTTTGGGCATAGTTTGACCAATATATAACAGTCCTTTCAGGATTTGGACTTGGTGTTCATGGATATACTATTTCTTCTATATAAATATTCCTGATTCATGTTAATGCAAGTCAACCCAGAGAAGCAAAATCAGTATCAGAAAAAATGCATAATGGTTAACTACTGTTGCTGGTGATCATCCAACATTGACTTTTTCACTCTTAGATGAATGAGAGGTTTAGGTGGGATAAGAAAAGCAGGCAGCATGACTATGAGTTCCTTTACTGGAGCTGCAGGTAAGTTCCTTTGGGTAGAGCACCATCTCTGATCTCGTAAGAGTATCAGTTTACAGCTTTGTAAAAATGAATCTTAATAATACTAGCTGAGCTCTGAAGTGATTTAGTGGAATAATAATGAAAATTATGGGAAGCAAATATCAAGTAATAGAAAAACATTTAAGGATAATTTTCTCTTATTTAATGGTTCTGAGTTCCAAGTCTTTTCTCTCTTTTCTGACTGATCTTTTCCCTCTCTGCACCCTCCTTTGAATGTCAAGTGCAGTTCCAGTGAGACTAGCTGGAGCTTTTGTGTTGGGGATACCTGCTCATGTTCTGTAATGCTCATAGTCTGCAACCTATAACATGCTCCTGAGAGAAGTAATTCACTATCACAAAACTTTTCAGAGTGTACATATTCAATAGAAAAAGTAACATAGACACAAGTGTATATATATTATAGTCCAAGTATCAATAACTCTAGAAAAATACTTGAGACTGGTAACAATATATTTGAAATCATCCAGATTCTTGGACGTGCTCCTCTCTGGAGTGTTCATTGACTCATTCATTTAATAATTATATATCAAGCTGCTATGTGTATACTCTGCTTTTCAGTTACAGGGATTAAGGATATAGCAGCAAAGGAGAGAAGAAAGGTCCAAACTCTTAGCTGGGAAATGTATACATAATTAAGTAAACAAATCATACAACAACTTTTTAAAAAAAGTCTTGAGTGCTACAAGGATGGTAAAATAGGGTTATACGGGACCCTATGAAAAGGCAAACTTTTTAGATTGGGTGGTCAAGGAAGGCTTGACCGTCCATGAGACCTAAATGGTAAGAAAACAGAAAGCATCAGATGAGAAATTTCCATTTGCTGCCACCACCACATCTATCCACCTCGTGAACTCTGCCCTCCTCCCTGTGCTATTGATGAGCTCCCCCTGTTTGTCTCCCTCACGTGTCAAAGATGATCTGATCCTCCTTCCTGCTCAAGGGAATCACACAGCAGTTATGTTTTTGCTCTACTGAAAAATCAAATTTTCACTTTCTAATGGTTCATTCCCAGTGATACATAAGCACAATGTGATTTTTTTCTATCTTAAAAAAATACTCTGTCTCAACATCCCTCTCCAGTTACCAATTATCCATTACCATTTATTGGAGATTTCTTACAATCTGTCCTCTTTGTCTTTGCCACTCCACTTTCAGAGTCACTCCAATCACGTTTTCACCCTCAGCACTCATTGAAACAGCTCTTATCAAGTTCACTGATAATCACTATGTTGATAAAGTCAGTGGTTAACTTTCTAAACCTGACCTATTAGTAGCAGTTAACAGAGTTGATCACGCTGCTTCTTGAAACACCCGTATTGTTGTTGAATACTGAATTCGCTCTGTCGTGTCTGACTCTTTGTGACCCCTTGGACTTATTCATGGCATTCTCCAGGCCAGAATACTGGAGTGGGTAGCTTTTCCCTTGTCCAGGGATGTTCCCAACCCAGGGATCGAACCCAGGCCTCCCACATTGCAGGTGGATTCTTTACCAGCTGAACCACAAGGAAAGCCCTAGAATACTGGAATGGGTAGTCTATCCCTCCTCCAGCAAATCTTCCCAACCCAGGAATTGAAGCAGGGTCTCCTGCATTGCAGGTGGATTCTTTCCCAACTCAGCTATGAGG